TGAAAAGGAATAAAAGTTGTCAGAGTTTTGCCGCCTCTAGTGTTCATTTAAACTGGAAACTGCAGCGATTCATACGTTTAGGTACGTTTTTGCAGAAATGTAGGTAGAGGCACGTATTTCCAATGAGCCTGGGTAGATAAAAGAAGGCTATGAAATGTATTTCTAACTGTAATCCTGTGGTTTTCAGGTCCTGGGTGTTTGGTGCTTTTGCACTGCTGTGTCTGGTTTGCCTGACGTGGTCGTTCGGCCTGTTTTTCTTGAACGACTCTTCAGGAATCATGGCGTACCTCTTCACTATCTTCAACACCTTACAAGGGCTGTTCATCTTCATCTTCCACTGTCTTCTGCAGAAGAAGGTAAACCCATGACATACTGAAGGAATCGGTTTGTCAGACGCCACTTTCTTTATTATTGATGGCCGCTGAATGTGTTAAGTATGGAAGCCCGTTTCCACCACTAAAAACTTTTTTCTAACTTTATAACACGCAATTGTGAGTTATAAAGTCAGAACTGCGTGATATAAACTCGAAATTGCGAGAAAAAAACTCAAAAAGAATTACGACTTTATATCTCGCAATTTTGACTTTATAACTCGCAATTTCGAGTTTATATCACGCAGTTCTGACTTTATAACTCACAACTGCGTGTTATAAAGTCAGAATTGCAAGATATGAACTCGCAATTCTGAGAAAAGAAGTCAGAATTGTGAGATAAAAAGTCGCAATTACCTTGTTTTATTTTTTATTCAGTGGCGGAAACGGGCTTCCATAGTTAAGTGTTGGCTCATAATGCATTGTCTGGCTGCAAAGTTTATTTGTCGTATTTAATTAAATTCAAATCCTTTGAGCTCATGCCCGATGATTTTGTTTTTGTCAACAAGTCCTGAGACAATTTCAAACCTTGTTTTAAAAGGTTATAACTCTTAATTATATGTTACATATTTTAATACATAATTATAAAAGATGAAAACCGACACAAAACAGTGTGTGCAGTCCAATTTTATTTCAGGCCCATCTGTGAGTGAAAGCTCATTTAATGTACATATAATTGCATTTCCTAAAGGATGTTTTCATAAATAAAGTCGCTCACTTTCTCTTGCTCCAATTTAAAGTGATTCACAGTCAGACACAAAATTGGCCAGCTTTTGCTGATGATCATTTATCATATGTATTTAATATGAATTATGAATATGAATGTTATTTATATTATACTTTTAATCAGAAGTCAGAAAGAGCTTTATTGCCAAGTACATTTACACAAACAGAATGCATAGTTAGCTTTTAATTTAAATTAATATATACATTAAAAAATAACTTTTAAGGCCATTTAACACCATACACAGTACGAAATGAATAAAACGAAATGCAAATAAAAAGATGCAAAAAAAAAAACCCTCACCTTTACAAATGTTACAATAAACTGGAGAAACAAGTTCAGGTCTCTCATTTCAGCAAAAATATAAAAAAAAAAAAATTCAACTAATATAAAGACAGTAACACTTTATTTAAGAACCCAAGTCTTACTATTAACTAGTTGTTTATTAGCATGCATATTACTAGCATATTAACTGTTTATTAGTACTTGTAAAGCGCATATTAATGCCTTATTCTGCATGACCATATCTTAGATCCCTTAATACCTAAACTTAACAACTACCTTACTAACTATTAATAAGCAGCAAATTAAGAGTTTATTGAGTCATAAAAGTCATAAAAAGTCATAGTTAATAGTTAATTAATAGTGAGACTTGGTCCTTAAAATAAAGTTTGACCTTAAAGACAGCAGCAAAGATGCTAGTAAATAAAGTGAGATTAAATCCATAAAGTGTATTGGTATTACGTAACATCTTTAATTATCGCAGGTGTGCATGAAGGTCTGTGTTTGTACTTCCTTCTGGGTTTTTATTCATTTCAAGGAATATTAAATCTTGTTTTTGTGCTAGTGAGATAAGCGAATGACATCTGTTGCAGAATCAGCATCTGTCTGTATTTTACCACGAGTCTAATCCAAATGAATCATTTAAGCAACTCACACATTTGTTTTAATCTGTACTTATCTTAAGTGTAAATACAGGATGTCCACAAATGAATAAGATAAATTGTAAATCTCACACGAGGCAAAAGTATGAATATTTGAAGAACATTTCATGCAAACACCTTGCTAATAAAGGGTTATGCATGTAGTTCAAAGGGTTCATAATCTGCAAAAATTTTCATGAGTAATTTTCGTGTTTATGCTCAGATGTGGCGGACAAGTGGCATTTTCAGTGTGCACAAAAGGCTCTGATATGTGACTAAAATATTATATCTAATATTACCGTCTAGCAATGTCATTGGCTGAAAGACTTCTAATGGGTAATCGATTCAGTGCCTGATTAGAAAACATACACATTAGTTTTCTGATATGTCATATATACTGTATGTCTCCTACCCTTTCCTTTGCTCTGAATAGTGTATTGTTTGTGGCTGTTAACGGAGCTGCGGTTGGATTGTGTCTTCAGGTGCGTAAAGAGTACAGCAAGTGTTTGCGGCAGTCTCAGTGCTGTACTAGTCTTCCCTCTGAAGGACCTCACGGCGTTAACAAACCCTCGGCCTCCAGGTCCACCGCTCGATATTCATCTGCTACACAGGTACATATCAATCAGATTCTGCATTCACGTATGAAATGTGAACGTTTTCTCTTCTTTATTGATATGGTCTCTCTCTTGTCTGCAGTAGTGATTGTAAAGGATTGCTCGTCGTGATTGATTCCCTTAAACGGACAAGTTTAAGAATCAAGCACTCGGCTGTTTAGAAAGCTCTGAGGATCTTCCTGTTCACTTTGAGCCAGAAACAAAAAATTCAGCGAGTCGTTAACTGAAGACTCGTCGCAAACAGATCATTAAATCAGTGACTTGTTGACAGTCGTATCAGTCCAATTCACATTTGAGCCGGTTCAACAGAATTAGCTCGCTCATGAATCAGAAATCGATTAGGTGTCTTGAAATGGATGTCTATTTACTCACATCAAAATAATGAATAACCATTTTTATGAAACGTAGTGCAGAGAAAAGTATGATATTATGCTTTGAAAGGACACAACAAAAACTCACCTTTACGGATGGATATATATATAGATATATATATATATATATGTATGTATATATGTGTATGTATGTGTGTATATATATATATGTATATCTGATTCGTCTCCACGAAAAGTTCTTTCGGATAGATCGTTTTAATGAATCAGTTCAAAAAAGATTCGGAGGTAATTTTACGGTGGAACTGGCTTACGTTGTCTACAATTTTGAGCGCTGCACAACAGAATAGATCATGACGTGATCGAGGGTCTTGATCTTATTTACATCTTAAATAAAATTATATTTTTAAACCTTTCTGTCAGCCGATGATAATTCTGAAAGAAAACGCCGAGAGCACAGATCAGTGGCCGAGAGATAAACCATGAGCTCTTGTATTAATGTGTTGTTGCTGTTCTGGTTATTTTGTTTCGGCGTACAGTTTGTTAATTTTGTGCAAAGCATACTGTTAAAGTAAACAACATCATTCAGCTTAACTGTGCACGTTTTAGACACTTCATGTCTTGTTCATGCTATAAACGCATGTCCACTGCTGAGCTGTGGGCTATGACTAAGTTCATGCGCAATGCAGACAAAATTACAATTTAAAATCAATCAGATGCATCGTAATTTTTACAAATAAAGCTTCATATTATGAGAAGGCTACTGTCTACGACCTTTATATCCTGCAGTCATGGTGAAATTAGGTTCCTTCGATCTAAAAAACAAGAATCGAACACAACAGTGAGGAATCGATTCTTGGAATCGAATCCCATCGATTCCAGAACTGGGAATCAGAATCGGACAGCCCTAGCTGGGGGTAGCACTGGGCACGTCGCTAGACCCAGGGGGCGTGCTGTCTTTGAACGTCAAAATTTGATTGGCTGATGATTCTGTCACTAATGCTAGCAACAAATCAGATGCGACGTCTTTCAACAAAAGGGTAGCACTAGCTGTAGTATCTCAAAGTATCTCAAAAGTGTCTCAAAATGATGATTTATACACCTTTATGCTCAAATAATAACTAAATAGTTTATATACTGTAAGTGTTTTAACAAAAATAAAGCTTCATAATAAATCATTCCTCAATGTCTTACTCCATAGATAAGTGCATTACTGTAACAGCATTTGTTTTTTTTTCAAATTTACTTTTATTTGTGTTGCTCTTTAAAGCAGCTTTACAGAAAATTTTAACTGAAGGGTTCAACATGATTTTCTGTTGTAGTCAACATTACACCACAAACAGTTATACCACAAATAATTGTTGATAGAGCTCAACCTGTACTGAAACTACAACTTTCCTTTAACAGCAATATTATAATAATTTGGTAAGTATTGAAGAGTAAGTAGAATGTTGTTTGCGCTTGCAAACAAACATTGTTATTGTAATTATCGCGAGGGATTTGTGAAGCTGCAGCAGATGTAATATTCAGAATGTGTTGTTTGGACATTTTCTTGTGCAGTTTTTTCCCCACATGTGGTGTTATTAGTCCCGCTATACGCTGCAGAGCTGTTTGCATGAATATCAGCCGCATTAATCAGCGAGCGTGTCTCTGTGTCGCTGCAGAGCCGCATCAGGAGGATGTGGAACGACACTGTGAGGAAACAGTCAGAGTCATCCTTCATCTCCGGCGATATCAACAGCACTTCCACTCTAAACCAAGGTAACAGATGAAACGCTGGGCTCTCACACACGCTGCTGTGCGTTTATAGATGCTGTAGGGTTTTTCTACTTGTTCCAGAGATGTTTATGTGAAAGGTATAATTATTTTATCTCCTTCTGTCTTCATTTAAATGAGCGTAAATAGTAACAAATTCTGTTTGCCTTGGGATGCATTCATGATTTATTTTTAGTTTTATTTATTTATTAGTTGGTTGGTGAATGCAGCCTGTGGTCACAAAGTGCATTGAACAAACTCGGGATCTGTTTCAGTTTGACGAATTCAAGCGAACTGAACCCAGATGCCACTGCACTCAATATAAGCTTACTGTGTCACAGGATTGAACCTTGTGAGTTTTGTGGTTAGTTTAGCTCACGAGCACATGTACAGGGAATTAATTTAGTACCGAGCTGAGGATGGAAAAATTATTATGGACACATTTACACAGTACAAGAGATTATTAAGAAACTATGACCAATTGACACAGACTTACATGCTGAGAGACATCACCACTGCTGAAGGGAGAAGATAAGCTGAATCGAATATAATTTGAATGCAAATAAAAGCATTTTATATAGATCCACAGCGAGAATGCACTGTCTTATAAAAATAAATGTAAATGCCTTTATTTAAATTTTTTTGAAAGCACAAGCACAAAACATTCAAAGTGAACAATGCTTGCAATTGCCACTGATTATTTAAAAAGTGAACACTTGTATGCATTAAGACGTATTTTGCTCTTTCTTTCTAGCAACACGTCAAGTAATGAAGATATATTTGGTGTACCAATGTCTCTTTTTTAACTTAGTGATATACAGTTTGTTCATGTCACAGCATCTCATCCTGCTGTGTGGCCCATGATGCATTGCATCAATCAGTCTTACTAGCCATTTTATCGATCTATAATATATATATATATATATATATATAGCACTGCATTTTTTTTAGGTTTTCTCCATCACACACTACATACAGGTTTAAACTCTTATAGAGAAGCACAAATCGGCAATAAAACATGTGGCTCCAAATGCATAACAGGATATTTTACTATTTCTTCTCTTTCATTTTCAGCTGTTTTAGTCTTTTCTGTTGGATCTGTGTGCAAATAGTCTCTGTCTTTTTTCATTAGGACTCTACATGCAATCCTTTATTTTTTTTCTTTCTTTTTATTTGGCCGTTTAAAATGCATAAAAAATAACAAGAGAATGCAGTTTATAGACAGTGCAGGGAGAGGTAAAAAACCCACGAGGACTTATTTAAAGCCTCCACCTAAACAATATAAAGTCTTCACAAAATTATAAAGAAAACCAAATTAACAGAGAAGTTTATATAACTACATCCAAAAAAAGTAAATACATTCATGCATACAGTATGTACATACATGTTAAAATGCATCTATGCATGCATCTGTGAAAAGTGCATATATACAAACAAATATAAATGCCAAGAAAATATAGATTTTACACATAAAGATTCAAGATTCTTTATTGTCACTATACAAGTATAGTGAAATTTGAGCAATCCTAACAGTGCAGTCACATGTAACTTAAACATCTGTAATACAAAAAAAAAAAGTATGTTATTACTATACGATACGAGACAAACAATACATAAACCAATACAAACAAGGCGATAGTGCAAAGATAAGTCTTATCTGCAATACAGTCAGCGATAAACGGTATGCTGTTTAACAATACAATACAAAGACAGTACAAACAAGGCGATAGTGCAAATGCAAGCCTTATTAAATATCGTATTGCACACATTATTGCACAGTTGGCACATAATAGAAAAGATGTACATGTTGCATTGTTTGCATTCTAAAGGCTCCAGTGAGTGGACTATAAAACCCTATAAAACTGGTCTTTGTCTTAGGTTAGTTAGAGAGCGACCAGGATGCTTTTTTAAAAACGATTCATTATTTAGGCTTTGCACAAGTGTTGCTGATGAGAGTTTGGTGTTCAGTTCGAGCTGCTAGAGATGTGACCGAGCGAGAGGAAGAGTGACTTTGAGTCAAACTAGCGTAATGTGCTCAGGTGTGATGCAGGACCCAGTGTTCTTTGGTACACTTCAAATTTGAAATTGAAAGTAATAGTTTTCATGGTTTTTTTTGTATATTCTGGGAAGATTTAGCTGTGATCTGGCATCGAGACAGATGCATGCTCTAAACAAAGTCATATTTATAAATATTAGTGTCTGAAAGTCGAACATCTTATCGGTTCTTGTGAGATAAGATATATTTTTGTGTCCAAGTAAAACATTTGCTTGGTGGGCCATTCTGTTCACATAATCTGAAATATGTGATCAGTCAACATTTAGTTCTTCTGTCCACTCAGAGCAGCTTTTCACATGCATAGCAATGTCATCTGAGTGGCTGTTTTAGCTCACTTTAGCAATCGCATTGCACCAGACGTAATTCTGTCTAATTCTGTTCTGCTTTTCTAAAGCTCTCTTGTTCACACTCATTCTCCTCTCTTTATTTGTTCAACAGGAATGAGCGGCAACTATCTGCTAACTAACCCTCTCCTCGGGCCTCACGACACTAACAGCCGCTATAACAACCTTCTCGCCGAAACCATCGTCTGCAACACCCCTTCTCCTCCAGCTTTCCGCTCTCCAGGTGCTTTATGGGCCAGGTCTCTTTCTGTCATTTGGGAATGTGGGCTGGAAAAATCCCGGCTTTTTCACAGCATGATTAACACAGGACTGCAGTTTACAGAGAATCTGTAATGAAATCACTGCAGCCTTTCTCCCTTTGAGCTGCATGAATCTCTTGCTTTTTTATACCATTACCTCCAAATTATTAATTAACCCTTTTAATTCAGATTTTTTTTTTTTTAGACTTTTTGAGATTGATGGATTAGAAGAGCTTTCCCAGATTTAATTTGTTGAGATAACACAAATATCCAAGTTGTCACTTAATACAACTTGTGTTAATAATAAAGCTAAGTTGACCAAACTTTATATTATTTTATTATTTTATTTTAAGGTGGCACAAACACTTTTCATAAGCTCAAACTAAAGTTTTTTTTTTTGTTCATTCATTCATTGAAGCATTTATTATTTATTTACTTTTTTTTTTTTTTTTACTTATTATTTATTTTCTTTTTTTTTTTTTTTTTACAATTTATTTCCTGCGGTATATTGTTCATGTGGCAGCCTGTAATTAGCATTATATCAGTGTTATCTATTATTTAAATTTCATTTTTAACATTTTATTTTACTGTATTATCAGTGTTATCTATTCTTCTCATTTTTATTTTATTTTTAATATAAATGTATTTATTTATTTATTTATTTGCGGACATAAGATGCATAACCCTAACCCTAATCTCAATTTAATATATACATTAATGAACCACCCAAAATTTAAGGGGAACAGCCAGCGATCGCCATGCATTTTCATTATATGAAAAAGAGCATACACTGAAAAAGAATGGTGTAGAAACTATTTTCACACAGAAATTGAAAAAGAAAACAGCAAGCAACACATTAAATGTGAAATTTCAAAGTACAAAGACTGAGATAGTATGCAAAATTGTAACATGTTGGAAACAAGCCATCTTACCAAATCACACATTATAAAACTTTTCATTGTAATAATTTTTATATTGCCTTTTTTTCATTAATTTGAGTAGACTTTTTGCCATTTTAAACTGTATTATATATATATATAAACATTTTAAGCAACTTAAAGCATAAAACAAGTGCATGGTGATATAGTTTCTATAGAATAAGGAGACCCAGAATTTAATAAATTATGCAAATATTGTAGATATGTATTTATGTAGGCTGAAGTATGGTAGAGTATGTAAATTCAGATAATTTAACGAGATAAATTGAATAATCACTGTATTCATAACTGTCAAATAGTATAGAAATGCATAAGCTAGAAATGCTGACAGTTTCAGTGCTGTTTACAGGCTTGTGGACAAATGTTTTCACTGTAATAGAAAGTAGGAGTTTTATTGAAATGTTTGATTTATTGTGGCAGTGTAATGTCTCAGGGCTGACTGCAGCATGATGCTTGAAGCGGAAGTGAACGAAAGAATTGCTTCTGATTAAATCTGAACAGCTCGCTCAGACTGAGACCTTCGCTCTAGACAAAGAGCAGCAGGAAAAGCATTTGATCATTTGCAACACTGAGCAATCAAAGATCTGGCCTGGCTTTTCTCCCAGAATTCCTGCTTTCCAGCCGCATTGGGTCTGCTTCTACAGTCCAGACAGTACCTGACTGGACGAAACCCCTCGCCAGCGCATAAACAAATGCAAATCATCTGTGCTGAGATGATGTTTTATGGTTGTTTGCTTTATTTTTGTCCTTCATTTCTCCCTTCGGTCCCTCTCTCCTCCCATTCAACTCTTTGCAGAACACAGACTTGTTTTTCACATCCCTTATGTTTATTTCAAACTACAGAACTTTAAATCTATCCTATGCTCCACATGAAACAGCAGTTCATTAAATGTATGATGATTTTCCACACTTTCAGTTCTATCACTATCACAGAGTCAAGAAATACTGCTGTTTCATACTGCTTCGTAATTATGACTTGAGATGTTTATGCATTCATATACTGTAGGCCTGCAGAAAATAATTAGGTAACACTTTGTTGATACTCCACTTTAGACATTTTACTAACTATAAGTAAGAACTAGCAGTCATTAGAGTATTAGTTGTCTGTCTGCTAAATATCTGCTAACACTTTGTTGATGCTCCCCAACACATTACACTGACTACACTGTAAGTAACTTTGCAAGAACGTCAACTTATTCTACTAACCCTAACCCAACAGTCTACTAATACTCTAATGAGAGTTACATAGTTGACGTAGTTGCAAATTAAAAACGGTTAGTTGACATTTAGCTGCACTAAGTTAACTTATAGTTAGTGGAATGTCTAAAGTGGACTGTCAAAATAAAGCGTGACCAATATTTCTTTCTTTCTTTTAAAGATGGAGTGCTAACCCTGTTACTCCTGCCATATCCTGCATTCAGCCTTCCAATAGATTCGCTCACAAAAAAATGGATTTAAAAAGCTTTATTGCTTTGCATATTCAAATTTGAATATAATTCGAATTGGGAAGATGCAAAAAGTAGGGTTGTGCAAGAAATAAAAAAATAAAATAAATATATATATATATATATATTCTTTCATAAATGATTCTATTTCTATTAAATAATTCTACACTTTGATTGGAATAAATCTAAATAACGTAAATATTTAAATCGGGGAATTGCAGGCTGTCATAATAATAAACATACGTTATATGAAGATGATAATAGCCCAAATTCATTTTCACCACAAAACGTCTAATTACAATTTAGCGTCCTGTGGTGCCAATTCGAATGTCATTTTAACTTATGAACTGAAAAAGAGACAAGTTTCACATTTATAATTTTCCCTAACCCTAATTTATGGGGAAAATTACTTTCAGCCTTTCAAGTGTGGAACATTAAAAAGTCTTGCATATTTCTTTATTCATGTTATTTATTTGTTCAAATTGTGAGTGAAATTAAATACATGTGGTGGATCTTGATGGACTGAATTCAGATCTTTGGAGTTTGTAAGCTTCTTGATTTCTCACTTTTCTGTCTTTGCTGCAAAAAACGCCGTTGTTTCACTCGTTTTGTTTTGGCACATGGGCAGTTCTCAGGTCAGCTAGCCTGAGCAGACACACATGATGTGAGTGTTTGCACTCTTGGCCTTCGCTCTGTGATCTGTGGACTGGCATCTGTGTGCTCCATAAACACCATTCATCTCTGTTGTGTTCGATGCAGACAGTTACAGCATGTTTTGTGTTTATGCTCATGCTTTTTCTGTGGAAAAAAAAAAGAATGCTGATTGTTTTGTGTTTTTGCAAGAGGTTCTTTGGCTGCTATGTTGTTGCTATTACTGTTAAAAACATCAGTTTATGAAACATTGAATATTTTGTTCGAACAGTATCTGTTTAGCAACATGCATCTTCACTCGTTTAATTTCATATTTTAGGTTTTAATTAGGGCTGTCAACCAATTACAGTTTTTAATCTAATTAGTTACATGACGTGCCGATTAATTAAATAAATTAATCACGTTATTCGCACATCCAAAAATAATTTAAAGTCATTGTTGTGTTAGATGAGAAAAGCCTTGAATAAACATTACAAAAAATTAGCTTTTGATTCAGCATTGCATAGATAATGATAATAATTCAGTATTGTTTTTTTTTTTTTATTATAATATTAAAATATTGAAAAATTGAAAAATTAAATGATTCAATAAATAGGCTTTTTTTTTTAGCTTAAACGCCAGTAGGTGGCAGCAAGTCACTGTCTTAATGAGCAAGTCCATTCACTCAATCATTCAACTGATTTGTTAAAAAAACATTCATTCTAGAATGATGAGCGAGTCATTGAAGCATTGGCTCACTCAATTCGTTCAGGATTCATTCAGTAATGAAACACTGCTGTCTACTGCTCTGTTTGGAAGTATGAAATTGAGCAAAACAGACAATATTGTATCAAAAATGAAACACTTTAACTTGTTTATTGAACTACTGTATATAATCAGTATCACATTCACAATCATGCAGGAAAAAATACTCGTGTTATATTGCTAAACTATATCATATGATACAAGACGACAAACCCATACAGAGATTTTTTTTCGCTCATATCTTGAAATGAAAGATGACAGTACAGATCTGAGCTGTATTAATAATTTTAACATCATTTTCCCATAATTAATCGCACCAAATTAACACATTATATCGACAGCCCTAGTTTTAATACATTATTTTTAGTTGGCATTTGGCATGTAATGAGTGTGATGAGAAATCCCGTGTCCTTAATAGTAACAAATACCTAGTATTGTCCGTCATACCACTTACTATTTCCAACAATTGACTTTTTGTTTTTATTTCAGGCCAGCACTCGCTAACCCACAGCCGTGATGTCAGCACCATGGACACGCTCCCTCTCAATGACAACTTCAACAACAGCTACTCACAGCGAGAGGACAACTACGAGGACCCCGCGCTGTGCTGCCCGCCCGCTGACGCTCTGCGTCTGGATGACGCTGCCTTTGAGAAGATGATCATCTCCGAGCTGGTTCACAACAACCTGAGGCCTCGCCTGCCGCCGCAAAACCAATCCAGCTCAAAAACCCAACCGGCGTCCAACAGCAGTCACCGGGGTCCGCAGGAGACCTTCGACGTGGGTGTCGGGAATAGAAACCGGAGTGAAGATGATGCCACAGTTTCCGACACCTCCGCTTTACCGCCGTCCTCCAGCCACCCGGCGCTGGAGCTGCTTCTCCTTCACCCCAACGACCGGGAGGCCCTCGAGGCCCCGCTTTTGCCCCAACGAACTCACTCGCTCCTTTACAGCGCTCAAAAGGCCGCCAGGCGGCAGAAGGACAGCAGAAAGGCAGAAGATGATGAGGAAAGCGCGAAAGAGTTAGACGACGCACCCTCGCCGAATAACAGGGACTCGCTGTATACAAGCATGCCCAATCTCAGAGACTCTCAGTCCTCCGAATCCCCCGACCTTGTCAGCGGACAGGACGACGGTTCTCCTTGCTCATCCGCCCAAAGTGAAACTGAGGAACAGTGCTACAAGAGCTTGCCTGACCTGGGAGACGGGACTCAACCGCTTTCCTACTATCAGATCAGCCGCCGAGGCACTAGCGAGGGCTGTATTGACCCCGGGCTACCCGAGGGCGAACCCGCTAGCGATGGACAGATGCAGCTAATCACCAGCCTCTGAGCCAAGAATGCACGCTTTCCTTCGTTTTCTTCTTTTGCTTCTCCCATCCACAGACGACAGCAAGTCAACGGCACAATGAATTGTTTTTTAGTAACAGAACTCTGGTCAAACTCTTCTATCGTACTGATCGAACTGCTCGAAGTGAGCAGAAAGTGTCAAGACTGGCATCATCTACGTCTGCCAAAAGCTTTGTACTGTATATAAAAAAGAAACATGCCAATGTCTGATTTTTGTAGGACTTTGAAAACTCTCCCAGCCAGTTCGCAGGTGAATCTTCCCTTCTTGGAAAGACTGTGATACAGGAAATGAAAAGAATGAATTAAAATCCCAGACTCAGGCCTTATATTTTCTCTATTGCACAAATAACTGTTGTATGAATGACAACTGAAGAAAATCTATTTTGCAGTACCAGGTGTAAAGAAAGCCAGTTCAACCCGAAATCACCACATCTCCACTTGAGAATGATGTGTTCAGTTATGGATTTTATCATGGAAGTTGTATTTTGCCAACGTAAATGTACAAAAAGGAGCTTCCTTATTTTTTTAGATTAACGGAAGTTGTGTCTTGCACAAATTTGGAGTGAATTGGACTAATATGTAATTTGTTTTACTTAAAAAAAAAAAAAAGAAATGCTTTGACTTTGTCAGGTATCAATAACATTCATAGGTGTCAACACGATGTCTTAAGAACATATCTCAGTATTTGGCACTAAATCAGGGCTGTCCAAACTCGGTCCTGGAGGGCCAGTGTCCTGCAGAGTTTAGCTCCAACTTGCCTCAACACACCTGCCTGGAAGTTTCTATGCCTAGTAAGAGCTTGATTAGCTGGTTCAGGTGTGTTTAATTAGGGTTGGAGCTAAACTCTGCAGGACACCGGCCCTCCAGGACTGAGTTTGGACAGCCCTGCACTAAATAATTTATTATATGAAGTATGAAATAAAAAGGGTTGGAACGAAAGTGGATGTGATGTAACACTGTTGATATTCACTTCAGTCTTTTTTAAGACCCCATTGTCGTTGCAGATGTACATTCAACTCTTGTTTGATATTGAATAAATGTGATGATTTTTTCTTGTTTGCAGATATATCATTCTCATTCAGTGAAGCATCAAACTAGCCAAACAATCTTATTAGATGTCAAAATCAAAAATAACCTAAGATCTCTTCATAACTTGCCTGATGAGTTATTTGCAATATAAATAAATTGTTGCTAGTTATTTGTATTAATGTTTTTTTCATGTTTTAGAAAAACTTTGAAACTATTTTTAACCCATTTATGATTCATTTTTATGGTGCCCTTCTATTCAATTAATTGACAGTATGTACTTACTATATTGTTAGAATTAGGATTAGGGTTTGGTTTTGGGTAATTGCATGTAATTATGCATAATTTGTTATTACTATCTTAAGAACATGTAACATGTTTAAAGGCAGGGTAGGTGATTCGGTTCAAAAACATTTTTTGTTATGCTGGTTGAAAGTCTCCTAACATCCCGATAGCACTCACTAAGTTCAGTGGTTTAAATGTATTTACATGCATTTATATCATCTGTGGATGGCGTAGGACTATAAAATAAAATGTTCATCCAATCATATTCCTCGGTTTGAGGACTACAACAGAGTTATGTAAATAACATCAGGGAAAAAATATATTGTGGTCACAAATTGAGAATTAATTTAGTAAAATTGTGGCCACAAATGAAACAAAATGGGGGAAAAAATACCTTGTTTGTTCCTGCATGTTGTGCATAGGTTAACAAATGCTTTTTTATCGTTAAGCCATTTTTTTATCGTTAGGCCATAAAATATACTTAATGCAAATATGTGAAATATTGGCAAACACATTGCAAGTGCAGCTGAACTTGCACTTGTATTACCGTGACGTAAAATGGGAATGAAGGAATGAGACACTGTGTCAGTAGCCGATACTTTGGACTGAAAACCCCAGAATTCCAAATGTAATCGTTCAATTTTTGAGGGATTAGTTAAACCTTTCTTCACAACACCTGGAAGCAAAGGGTGAAAAGCCAAGAAAACATATGACTCTCCAACGCAAGCCATTTAGGTCAAAGCTTCAACCCGGCTGTGCGGAGCTTGGAATTTCAGGGAGAACTAAAGCAGATAATAAGTTTACTTCACTGATACAACTAAAGCCAAAAGTAAATTTCATTTGTCCACATTCCTTTCCAGCTTCAGGATTTTTGTCATCAGCTGATGTCCACGCAGACAGAATTGAATGAGAGCTTAAAAAGAAAGGTCTGCCTTTCATGGTGGAGTGTACTTTAAAGGTGCTGTATGTAGGATTGACACTGAGTGGTTGAACTAGGTATTGCAGTCCAAATTCAAAATATTGGAGAGGGTTTTTTTCACCCGGCCCCTCCTTCTCAGACTTGATGCACACGCAGGTTGCCAGATTGACGACACCAACAGGAACGAGCGCACTTGACAATGACTGAAATGAAATACGCTGTGTTTTCCGCCAACTGGCAACCCGGGGTCCCGAAATACAATTGGGTAAACTGGCAGTGGGCGGGTTTCACAAACCAAAACAGAGACCGACATTCCGGCCCGGAACGCACATTTTCAAAGGAGAATAACTGACTGTAGCATTGTTTTTCAGATAAACAAGTATGTTAACTTAGCATGTTTCTTAAATATCTGCAAACATATTATGGCATTTTTACGCTTTAGTAGAGTCAAAAACTTACATACAGCACCTTTAAAAGGCTTGCATGCTTGACTATGCACAAAATGGAATGGAATGTGGACAGTTAAGTGTTCCTAAGCCTTAAGTCCACTTGTGCTTCCACAAACACTCACCAAATCCTCTACGCCACCTGAGGATGCAGCCTACATTCTTCAAGCATGACTCCCTGATGCAAGAGCAAATCTGTACCACAATTCACGTGACCTGGTTTGTGCACAGCACAAATGGACAGCAACACGCTGTGCCAGATCTAAAGTTGGATATGAGTGCATTCCCTGATGATTGTAGACCAGTGGTTCCCAACCACGTTCCTGGAGTATTTCAACACTGCACATTTTGCATTTTTCCTTAATCAAACAGGTCATCAGCTCATTAGTTGAGACTCCAAGACCTGAAATGGTTGTCAGACGAAGGAGGCATGCAAAATGTGCAGTTACTCCAGGAACATGGTTGGGAACCAGTAGCTACATTTACATGGACACCCTGAAGGAAGTCATTCCAATTGATGAATTTGACCATAGTGTTTAAGTGAATGCCAAATAAAGTGATTGGGTTGATGTAAGCATTTATATGCCACAGGTTTCCAATTACACAGTATATATGTATGCCCTCGTCAGATACTGCATAAGTAACGATTTATCCACCATGTCAACTTTGCACCATGCAGGACTTTTGAGCCAAGGCAACTGCCTCTTATAGACAGTCCCTGTCCCAAACTCTTGAGTATGTCTGCATAGTAGAGAAGCTTTCAGGAAGAAATGCCTAAAAAGACAAAGCAGCAGCCAAAGACCTGGTGGAAACAGGTCCTTAGAGGTTGACATCTCTATCACCTTTAAAAGAAAGGACAAGACTTCTTGAATCAGGATCTGGTTCCTAGAACATTTGTCATGTAACTCAATCATGTTCATGCTTTCAAGAGCCCTAAAAAATGGTCAGTTAAAAGCACAATTTTGTGGAGTTGCTAACAATCCAATTAATGGGACATCCATAAAACTTTTGTCCCAGGTGTGCACCAATGCGACACTACTAACTGCAACAAAACAATCCGCCTGTATGAACATCAGCCAAATGAGATGCATAAAAGAGACCTATAAACAAGCAAACAGCATCAGTGCCCTTTTATCAGCATGTTTTTAAGACATAACACCAGGCTTAATGAAAGTCTTAAACACCTTCAAAAAGCTTTGCAGTGTTTTATGCATATATATTGCCTCATTCTTACTCAGAAAAGCAGCCCGCCTCATCCTATTTCTATGTAATTATCACCCTTCAGGTGAAGCAGATGGCAAATTAACCGCTGGATGCAAACTGCTGACAATGTTGTCGTCTTATCCATTTTGCATGATGACAGTGTTAGTGTTTATGCACATCCTGATTACAACAATTTTGACAGTGGGTGGTGGTTGTCAGGGACTAAGTATGAAATGATTTCTGAAGAAGTTCTAAGGTTGCTGGGGTTTGTGTGTCTGATATAATCATTCTCCATATTGAAATATGTTGCTTGCATAAAGAAGGTTCATTAGTATCACTTGTTGTTATGCAGCACAAACTTATTGGTTCAGAGAAAGAACTTTTTTACACAGTTCCAGTTTTAGGACATTTCTGTAGGCTTAAAATGTGTTTGTCTAAGCAAATCAATTTTTTTGTGAACCAGTGCATCAGCAGATAAATTAGGCCACAATGCTCTGGAATGCAAGCCTATTATAAGGCTTTGTAGACAGTGTTCAGTCTTCTTCTTTATTACAATGGAGTATTATAGTGCCCAAAGTATTCAAACGTGTAGTAGAGACAGTGAGAAAAGCATGGTTTGTTCCAGGTTCTCAGCCAGCTCTAAATAAAATCCTTGTGGAAAAGAATGATTATTTACAGTAATGGACAAAGAAGTTGAAAACCCTGATAAGATGAGATAATCTTACCACAGTGCTCTTGTCTCACAAAGGAGTACCGCAAGGATCTGTTGTAGGCCCTCTTCTGTTTTCCTTGTAAATACTTCCCCTAAAAGCTCTACATTTCTTGTATAAGACCTTTTTTTGTAGAGATTGTATTAAAGACATTAAATACTCAGTGACCAGACATTTCTTTCTGTTGACACTCCATTGTTGCTTTCAGATAGAGTTGGATGACAAGTCTGAGTCAGCAAAAGAAAAGCTGACTTTCCGTATTGAGATAGCGTAAATGAGTCCAGAACATTTGCAGAAGTTGGGAAAATCTGTAGTGGATGGTTTATATCCAGATTAACAAGTTAAAACTCTGATGTCGCCCCAGTGCATTCTCCTTTTCTCTTTGCTCTGACTTAGGAGTAAAACCTATCATGTACAACCAAGTCAAACTTTCTTATCAAAACCCTACCTTTGAAAGTGCAGTTCCTACATTTAAGCTGCATTTTAGATTATTTTACTGAGAATTGTGAGGAATATTTGTCCATTTGGCCTCTTTGTGATTCAGAGGGACTACTGTACTGTTTCTCCCCTTACTTCAGATACTGAAACGCACTGCAAATGACCGTTGGATAGCAGAAAGGAGAAGACGTCCAGACGTGGGGCAAATTTGAAGATATATTCTTTTGTTCTTTTCTGAGTGATGACTATGAGGTAGAAGCTGCACGAAGGCTGTTGGAGAGGAAACAAAGCTCACGGGAGAGTATTCATGACTTTCCATTATCAAAGTCTATGCCTGAGATAGAAAAGGGATATTCCATAGAGAGATTGTTCACACTACCAAAATTGTAATCCTTAACTAATCAGCCTGCTCGGAGGAATGGTGAGAACGGTGAGTATACTGGAAAGGATTGTTAAAATTCAGATTCTTAAATTTGTAATCCCACACTATGCTGACATGGGGTCTGAACTTAAAAAGACATTTGAGTTTTAGCATATCTTACCTCTCCTCTGAGCTCTGCTTTCCACACGCTTAATTTGGTGTCATGTAATGATGGAGATAAATGACTAACAACCAAAACCAAATCCAAAACTGTATACAGAAGTGTCATCATCAAGGTTTGTGGACCAAAGCCAATTGCTCGGATGTGGCCTCAGAGCTAGTCGAGAATCTAATCAAAAGAAAACAAC